ATATAATTTTTTTTATAAAATTTTTTTAGGATTATCTTAAAATCTATTTTCATATTTAATTAGAAAATTTTAAACCCCAAAATAGTTAAAATCAAGGAGATCTATAAACATACGAAAATCTTGAAAATGGACAGCCTAGATAATGTGTTGCAAGATGCACTATTTTTGAGACTCAAAAAGTTTTTTTTTTTTTTTATATTCATACATCTCGATGTCGAGATGATCAAATATAGGGTTTTTCAACATTAAAACAACGATAGATTTTTGAGGTAAATCTATAATTCTACATTTTAAGGCTGCAACCTTATATAAACTTTTCCTTTATTTATATGTTTTTCATATTTTAGTATATTTTTTTTATATCTTTTTTAATTTTTTCAACAATTTTTTGACCGCTCGGGATTTGCCCAGTTAGAACAGTTGAATCATCTAATTTACTAGGCCGGTTAAACCCCTTTCGGCCCCTTGTCCAATTAACTATTCCGGTTCGATTTTGTGAACACTGGTAGATGATGATGATCCTATAGACCACACTAAACATTTTGTTTCACACTAAAAACCAAGTGGGGAAATTTTTTAAATTAAAACCAATATAAATCGGACAGCTCAGATTATCATACATGTTTCGACGGCTGATGGGTATGCACATTGTTCCATTTCTAATCTTTACTTTATAAGTCATATTAACTTGAAATTTAAGGGGTAGTGGTGTAGTGCGCCTTACATAGATGCACCAAAAATAATATAAGAAAAATTCACTTAAAAAATTGATCAAAATTGATGCAAGAGCAGCATTCATATTTTAATTTTTATTTAATTTCAAAGATGTTGACAAAATTATATTTACCATAATTGGTTAGTAGTAATGACTTAAGGAATTAAATTAGTTTTCTTTTTGTTATAAGGGTAGAGTAGTGAGGCCTTCATAGTCCTCTTTTCATGAAAAAATGGCGAGCGCTCCAACAATATAAGGTGCTCAACAACCCCTAAAATGATGGCGCAAAGTTACTATTTGGGTACTGCCTGAGAGGTAGAGGTGGGTAAAATGATAGGTGAGAGATGGGATAGATCATAGGAATACTTCGTATGTGATCTATGTGACTCCACTTTATAGTCTTTCAATCTAAATGGATGGCTGAGATCTCTCTTGTCATATGATGCCATCAAAATATTGTTTAATTTTTTAAAAATATTTTATATTAAAATTTAGGTTTTTTTTTCTTCTTATTAAGGCACACCTAGAAAAAAATTAAAAAATATTTATGATGAAAATAAATAATAAGAAAATCCCCTAAAACTTTTAGGGCATTCTGGTAATTTTCTATACCTGGAATATTTTCTATTTTTACTTTATCATGTATGTTTTGTTAGATGATGCATATGCCAAAATTTCCTTGCAAACTAATTTATAGTATAAAATAAAAATAAAATGGATTAAGATCTAATGCTAAAATATCAAAATCTGATAGTCAAGAGCCAGCTCTACCCAAATCAGGTCTTTGAGAGCAGGGTTATATATATATATATATATATGAGTAATGATTTTATGAACCGTGCCACACATAATGACATAGGACCCCAACATATCACCGTTGGATCGAATCAAAATCTTAAAATAAGTTTTAAATGTCACTAGCAATAAGGGATCGCTCCCTCCCTTCAATGGTACTCTCTCTCTACATACTCTTCCCCTTATTCGTACGCTCCACGTAGGATTTATTTTTGTCCCTCTACCCCTACCATTCGTACTCTCTCTTCCACAAGGAGAAAACCGCCCCCCTCTCTCTCCCTTCCTCCTCCCCCCTCTCGCCCCCAAATTTCACTGCAATAAAGAGAGAGCTCAGACTTTGGACTTTAAGAAAAATGAAAGAGGCCATATTTCATGGCAACAAAGAGAGAGACTTCAGACTTCGGCTACAAATCATGCAAAATCTCAACAACTCTCTTCTCTAAATTGTCATTGTTTGGATTCAAATCACAAGAGTCTTCATATGCATATATTGGGAAGCTTATACAATTCTTAACCCAATATTCGATTTTTTGTTTTAATCGAAACCCTTTTGCGGAGTAGAGGGAGAAAGCAATTGCCCACCTTCTCTGTAACGCCCTTCTCACATAGATTTTTGCTGAATAAAAGATATGGGTACATCCAGTGCTTCACAATTCAAGCTTAGACCTTATTTCCCATCATCCATATTGTAGAGGGAAAAAGCCTTATTAGAATTAATCTCTAAAACCTTCAAATAATCCTTGGTAAACCCAAATACCACCTCATACCTTCGATTATTTGTAAAAGAAGCCTTTTCTTGGGTATTCCTAATTCATAGTTGGGTTTTGTTGGGTATTCCTAATTCACATATCTTTTTTGAAATGCAGGAGATTGGGATGCAAAAATCTGGTTCTTTTATGATAGAGTCTTCCACATCGAATATTGCTTTGAGGTCACAGATTTTATCCAATACAGGAAGAGAGTTTAAATACCGGTTTTTTTTTTTCATTTCATTTTGACCTCAACATAGGATAACCTCTGCGTATAACAATGGTGGGGTTGCTTTGTGAGAGGTTCAATGAGAGAGAAAAGTGAGGATTTGCAGGTCAAGAACGAAGTGTTTTGATTCTCCTCATTAGACATCAGGGCTTTTTCGCATATCTAGTTTTAGAGAGATTACTTTTAGAAAGAGAAGAGATGGTGGGAATTTTAAGAAAGAGAGATGCGTTAATCTTTGACTTTCTTAACAGGTTAGCTGGTAGCCCCTCAATCTAACCTTGAGATTTGAAATTTGATCTAAAGACTTAAATTAGGGGGTCCTTTGTCACGCCTCTTACAAGGTCATTTCCCATCAAATAAACCGTCAACTTCATAAAACTCCCATGGACCCATTCCACGTTAAAAGAAAAAGGCATTTAACCTGCTCTCCTATCTTTTCCATTATCCAACTTACAATTCTAATTTATTTTGTTAAATGACTCCGACATCTTGGAATTTGAGATGCTACGTTTAACCTACTCATGCAATTTGATAGAGAGAGAGAAAGGAATGGTCCATAGGTGATGAACAGAGATAGGCGGAGCTTTTCTAGGTTTTGGATGGAGGGATTCTAAGAAAAAGGAGGATAAATAGTACCATTTGAATTATGAAAAAGATGACGAGGGGCTTAAAAAGTCAGTGTCTTTTAACATCGAGGGCATGGGCTTTTCAAGGATGAAAGGGTTAATTTGGGGTTAAAGTTATAGAAAGTCTAAAAGCTAAATATATGTCTTTCTCCCTAAAATGAAATGATCTGAATCAGTCCCCATGCTGAGTTCAAATCTAAGTCATCTATTTGAATGGGCAATATATCCTAGGGACTATAAGCTTTGTGGGTGTTTCAAATTCAAAGAAACCAGTAAAAAACAATCTCCTCAAATATAGATCGGCTTTGAGCTGAAACAATGCTTCAAGGATGGAAAGAAATGATCTAAATCGATTCCCAATTTTCAAATTCAAATCGAAGCGATCCATTTGAATGGGAAATAGATTCAAGAGGTTTAAAACTTTGTGGGTGTTCATAGAAACAACTCAAAAAGAATATCCCCAAAGAGAGATGGGCTTAGAACTCCGATAATGTCTCAAAGATAAAAGAGAAAATGCTTTAAATCCATAGGATTGTACATTATGAGATCATGCCATTGGATGTGAAATCCAAATGGATTGAAGTATCTCACAACACTCAAGCTATTTTCTTTTGAACTTTGTGGCCAATCAATGACATATCCTTAACCACTCAATTTCACATCCAAAAGTCAATAATAATTGTGACTTTATATAAAAAATAAATAGTCTCATTATATACATTTCCTAAATCAATTCCCAATGCCAAATTCCAATCTAAGTCTGTCCATTTGAATGGGCAATAAGTATTTCAAAAATTTTAGGCTTTATAAGTATTTCAAAATAACTTTAAACATAATCCTGCTCTCTCTCTCTCTCACACACATACACACTCGGAGACACAAGTACACACACCCATGATACATTGACTGGGGAACAATTCTTTCTGTCGACTCATCGACTAGGGACAACTCTCTCTTTCTTTCTCTCTCTGAGCGAAGAGCTCAAAACAAAAAGAAAAAAAGAAGAAGTAATGAACAAGGAAAAACTAAAAACATAAAGGTACATCTGCTATATGGAGGTCTGGCCACGTGCATGATGATCACTAGATACCTCAAAGAATACCACATAGAACCCTCAAAATTCCTCAACTCTGATAGCTTCCTTTAGAGTCTCATAAGCATCTTTGGGCCTCATCTTCTTCACACCAGCATTGAAGCAAACCTTGTCAGATTTGTAGCTCTCCATTGTTACTGACGTCACTCTGACCCAAACAAGAACTTTTGTTTTCATACCTTCGATCCCCGAAAGCTTGCCTCTTGATAGGGCTGCCTTGACCCTATTGGAGTATCTTAGAACCGATGAATCCTTGAAGCTGGCCTCACAAATGGATGGCAAGTATACGATGAGTTTGCCTCTAGTTTCATCAAATTCGTAGCATGTGATGTTCTTTGGGAAGAGGCCTGGGGGTAGGCCATATTCTCGGAGGAGATCAGGCAGGAGTTTCTGTGTCTTACCTGGTGTGACAGAGGAAAGATCAACGAATACATGAACAAGCAAGAAAAAATGACTCGAACAGGGAATGTTGGATTCTATGACAGAAGTCTATCTCGCCATGTGAGACTTCGATACAATATTTCATAACAAAAAACAAATAGCCGGAAGTTGAAATAAATTATGCTCTTAATAGCTAACAAGAGAGATGCATCTGAGACTCCAGCTTAAGGAAAACCAATACATGCCAGTCAAGTTACAATCAATTTCCTCTTCTTTTTACTTTTACATGCATGTACACATCCACATGATATTCATGATATCTAGTACTCATTTTTGTCTTTAGATCGCCAGAGACTGCCCAGCATAAATAGCTCCAGATTCATGCCGATCATAAGCAAAGATTGAATTAGAAAAGTTATTTCAAGTCCCCAAGTATGTGCACGAACATGGAGACCACCACACATATAATGCAAAGGAAACAAAACAATCAACAATTAAGCACTCTTGCTCTGAATAAAACAGGGATAGGAAGAGAGAGAGAGAGAGAGAGAGAGAGAGAGAGAGAGAGAGAGAGAGAGAGAGAGAGAGTACGTACGTACGTACGTACGTACGTACGTAACGTACGTAACGTACGTACTACTACCTACCTACTACGTACTACTACTACTACGTAGTACGTAGTTACGTTACGTTACGTTACTTA